TCAGCTCGCGCAATCTCTTAATCCATTTACCCGCCTCCACGGCATGATGCGAGGCTCGAGAGAGTGGCATCATTGTTGCCATTTCCCATCGAAGTAAAAGCCGAGACGTTTTCAAATATTCCTACAGTTCCTCGCAGCTATCGGCTTAAGAATGCATTCCGCTTTTAACGTGGGACCGGAGACTATTTCCGTTGCTATTTTGATGGCAGGGTGGTAACATCGTGTGCCGTGTTTTATTCATGCCCAACACATGTCTATATCTCGCGGCATCGACAGGCGCGACGATAATTCAGTCGAAACTGATGAAACTCCTAATTTTCGATTATACAATTATTCCTCCTCGACCATTAGTGTTTACAACTACAGCGACCTTCCGACAAGTTTCCACGCTAACTATATCCTTCCTCGTTAATTACTTCCTAAGTTCAAGGTCATCGGCGAGTCGTCTCCATTTCCTTTGGAATATGCTGTGACGCAAATTTTTGCGAATCGATCAGTTTAGAAGAATTCACCGAGTTTCGGAGAATAGAAGGACGATACAGCGCAAAATTCGAGATCAATCGATCGTTTATCTTCCCAGGTTCTTTCTCCCTAAGTTCAAGGTCGCCGATTTCGCTTCTTTCAGGATTTTCTTTCGATTCAATTTTTGTGAACCGATCGGACTGCACAAATTGATTGTGTTTCGGGGAGCAAGTGGACAATACCGAGCGAAATTCGAGGTTAATCGATCGTTCATCTTCCTAGATCCCTCTTTTCTAAGTTCGAGGTCACCAGCAAACCGACTTCGTTCCTTTCAGAATTTTCTGCGACTCGATTTCTATGCGTCGATCGGTCTACAAAAATTCACCGAGTTTCGGAGAATAGAAGGACGATACAGCGCAAAATTCGAGATCAATCGATCGTTTATCTTCCCAAGTTCTTTCTCCCTAAGTTCAAGGTCGCCGATTTCGCTTCTTTCAGGATTTTCTTTCGATTCAATTTTTGTGAACCGATCGGACTGCACAAATTGATTGTGTTTCGGGGAGCAAGTGGACGATACACAGCGAGATTCGATACCAATCGGTCTTCCACCTTTCTGGTTCTTTACTTCCTAAGTTCAAGGTCACTGGCAAGCCGACTTCGTTCCTTTTCGAATTTTCTGCGACTCGATTTTTGTGCATCGTCTATAAAAATTGATCGAATTTCAGTGAATAGGGGGACGATACAGAGCGGAATTCGAGATTGCTCGTGGGTCCGGAATGGGCACGACGACCGGCGGATATCGGGCATAGTCGTCCGGCTCTCAGAAAATTTATGGCACGTCTCGGGATCCACGTTGGCGTGCTATAAGATGGCGAGTTTGCGTGCCGGCCGGTCAGGGCGTAGGTGTAACTTTATGCTGGCCGGTTCCGTGTGCGGCCCTCTCGTTTCCGCCATAATTCCCGTACACCCCCGTGTACCCCGTGCATCCGAAGCAAGAGCTCAGCGCATCCCCCCTGCGCTTCCTGCTGAAATATCGCCAGAGTGTCCGACTGGCCGTGTTCCTGCTAGCCGGACGCTCGTCGATAGCATTAGGGGTGTGGGCTACAAGGTATAATTCCCAGTCGGTCGACCTTCGGAACGTTGTCGACGATGATTGTTCCGGGCCTCGGAGAAGCTGCTAGCGACAAGTATGGTCGCGACATCGTTGTTCGAAGTCGAAATTTGTCATTGGAAATTATAGTTTCGTTGATCCTGCTCGGTTCTTTCTTTAGCGGCACGCTCCTGATTCCGCCCACTTTCGACGCAGTTAGTTGCGTTCTCCAGTCATCACTACTTACGGTTGCGGTGTTTGGATAATTTTTAATTCGATGAAGGAAGAGCCATTTCGGAGGCAGAATCGTGCTGGGTGGATTTTGCTGTATGGTTTTGCCGCAGTTGCATTGATTGGAGTTTCTTTGTTTTTAATACATTCTTAGAAGAAGTACGAAGTATTTTCTTTTTTATTGAAGTTTAACATAACAGGCGAATAAAAATTCACTGGGATTAGAATATTTTTGTCCTGAATACGTTTATAGAGGTAACATGAAGGACGTATTTCTCAAACGCTAACGTAATAGACGAATAAAAATCCATTTGGATCAGAACATACAGAAGGTATTTATCGAGGATTTAACCCTTTATGCGTCGACTAAGATAAGACCCTAGTTTTATGACTTTCTGTTATATTCCTATTACATGAATGCCATTTAGATTGGATTAATCGTGCTTGCATTGTGTGCGTATTAAAAACCATAGAAAATCATGCTAGACCAAATTTTCAAAAATACCATAAATTGCACAAAATAGCTCGTACCACGCGTTCGTCTAAAATGTTAAAAGAAGCGAACAACACTCACGTCCGGCAAAAGATTAATTTGCGTTATTTAATATTTATATTAGCTTTTTCAAAATATTTTACAGTCTCCTGGGTCATTATGAGAACGCGGATCTTTGTGCAAAATAAAATTTGTCCAACACGGTTGTAAGAGATAAAAATTGAATAAAACCAAATTGTTCCTTTTAATAATTTCGACAAGTTGAAGTTGAAAACACTGTAATGATATCATCAAATTTTTCATATGACCTCACCATTTTTTTTTATTCCAGCTGCACATTTTTACCATAAATGCATAAAATCCGCAGTCCAGTGATTATTATTCATGATTTCATTTTTTTTTCATCAACTATATCAAGATTTATTATCTCGTTCAGGAATCGTGATCATTCCCAGATGTTGCAACAGCATTGCAACCGCATCTACCGCCGCTAATTGAAGCAGTGCAGACACCGATCTCCATATTTCGAAGGCGATCAGGAGCACGGCGCAGCTTCCGACTGATTGAATTCAATCCGAATTCTCTTAACCGGCGACATCCAAGCCGAAATATCTCCGTTAATCACCCGGCGAAACGCGAGTTGCATCGTGATCGGCTGCATCCCTTGGATCCCGGCGCGGTGGCTCGAGATTAATTCCGCCCCCTCGCGTCGGCAAACAGTGTCTGCAAACGACGCCCGGCGTCAACAAGGGTCGTCGACGTATCCGATTGCTCCTCGATGTCGTGCGAGACTGCCTCCGTTTATTAATCCCATTAGCGCGTGAACAAATCGATTAATATTAATGCTCGGATCCTGAAGAATGCTTCGCGATTCTCTCGAAGAGACGACGAACTTCAAAAATTGCTTTAGGATATCGTACCGGATCTGTTTTGTCATGTGTTTCGGTCGAAGTTGAAGTGGTTCTTCAAAACGATGCAATTAATAGGTATAATTGACAAAAATATAACCGAGTATGTTAACTATCATTTAGAATTTTATCGATCAAGTTTTCGCAACATATTTTTTAAGCTAGACCTTTTTTCTAGACACGTTGGTTTAACAACTATAGATCGTCATGAAACATGTGAAAATTATATACTTGCTTGAAATTAAGTTTAAAATACCGCAAATATTTTTAATACTACCGGAGGTTCAACTCGGCAACTAAATTTTGAATTTAACATTAAACCTACCGAGCAGTGAAATTGATTGGTGAACGTTGGTTTATAAAAATGGGACCAAATTTATTTAGATTTTATATAATGTTTATTATAATAGCTGCTTCGATAATTGTGTAAAATCAGGAAATCAATTACATGGCCATGGTAGATTATTTAGTGTCAAGTTCAAATTTATTTAGTGTCAGAATCAAAGGTTCGAGTCGCTTCGGGACATGATTTAAAAAATTGTTAACAACGTGAAAGGACCAAAGCATGAAAGATAGCCAATTTTCCGGGGATTTAACAGACCCGTTTCCGCCGAACTAATTTACAGAGCCTCGGTACAGAATAGTTCTAAATCAGTCGTGCTCATGGATGTATCCTACATCTCGAGACACTTGTAATAAACATCTGCGGTCCGTGCTAGCGTATGAGTTATCGTCCATCCTCGAAGTGAATAGTAGAATGCACACAGAGAGAAGTTCTCTAAAATTACTCGCACAGCGTCTGTAACTATTGTGATAAAGTATACAAAGTGTCTCGCGGCGAACAGTTGCTATTTCGCGGTGAGGCAATGCTAACTGGATACTAATGCGTTCGAAAATCGTGATGCTGACCGTTGCCAATTCCATGCCCATTAATCCAACCGTGGCCATCGTTTGGTAGCCATAGAACTGCGAATTTTATTTGCGGCATTTATTATCTACAATTTGTTATCTACAATGATGTTCTACTCTTGTATCTAGAGTGACGCTCTGGTGTCTACTTTCAACTTGCCTTTAATGTTCCTCCTATTTCGAAATACAACGTCTATAGAAAATCTAATCTGTTGTCATAAGAGGTGAAATACTCTGCCGAAGAATCCTAGATATTGGAATAATTATAAATAGATCTACATCTGCAAGGGAAAAATTGATACTGAATGTATGAAATACAATGTATGTGGAATAAGATGTCCACCATTTTGTACCATTACAAATTGATCTACATTTGTGGCATAAAAATGTGCACTGACGGAATGAAATAAAAAATATATACAGAAAATCTAGTCTATCGCTATAAGGGTTTTAAAAATGTCTACGGGAGATGTTTCTAATTTTTCATCATTACAAATTGATCTACATTCGTGACCGACAAATGCACCTACAAAAAATCTTGCCTATCGCTACAAGGGTTAAGAAAGAGCCTTGTTAAAGACGTGTACTATTCTGAACCATAATAAATTGCTCTACGTTAGTGGCATAAAAATATACACCGAACTATGAAATACAAAATGTCTACAGAATCGATTACCGATAAAGCAGCTTAAGGAGACGTTGCCGTACAGCTACGTTCCGCAAACCGTCGCACAAAAATCGACATTCGAAGGATCACTCGTCCCCCACTCTCTGCTGCAAGCACAAACTCAGCAAATAGCGCAAGCAACAGCAGTCTCCAAAGACTATGAAACTACGAAGCTGCTAAGGACTACCAAGCGAAACGAAAGCAACTATTTCTAGAGACAATGATCCAGCTACGATCTACCTGTCTGGAGGCAGTGGGTGTCGGTGGGTCAGACGGTTCCTTCTGCTGTTGTATCTTCCTCCTGACGGGTTGCTGCGGTCCCGCGACCTGAGCTTGAGCAGGGGCCCCTCCGCCGCCCCATTTGATCACGTGCGGGCCGGAGTTCTTCCTGGGCGGTGGTCCCAATCTCTCGGCGGGCTCGTCGGGAGGCGAGCCGAGGGCCCCGCCTGACGGTGGAGTGAAGAACAGGTGAGTCCTGTACGCGTACCCCTGGTGATCGTGATCGGCCATCGACGGGAAGTAGCCGAGATCTCTGCTTCGTCGGATCGGGCCGCGCGTCCCGACGATCGGTGGCCCGGCGCCGCGGACGACGCCGAACCTGCCACCCCCGTACCCCAGGGAACCGGAACCGTACGTACCACCCACGCACGAGCGACCCTCCAATCCGCCACCTCCGCCTCCTCCACCTCCACCGAGCCCCTTGTCGCCGCCGAAGTTCTTGCGGAACATAAGATTCATGACTGAACTAGGCTGCGGTTACTACAGAGGCTAAACAGTTACGTGAGAAACACTGGGTGTCTTAACACTGGTGTGTCGGTGTGCGTATATACACAGGTCTCTCTCTCTTTCTCTCTCTTTCTCTCTTTCTCTTTCTCGCTCGCTCGCTCGCTCTCTCGGTTGTCTGTTGTTTATATTTTTTTTTTTTGATTTTTGTACGTGTCGGAACAAACACAGCTTTTTTGGAGGAAGAGAAGCAGCAGCGGCGGCGGCGGCGGCGGCGGCGGTGTGCTCGACGATCACGAAAGCGTCCCTATAGTCCCTAATCCTCGTCCCTCGGCTTGCGACTCAACGCTAACTCCCACCGGATTCTGCGACCTTCGACGACCAACGGGGGCCTGCCTAAAGCGAGTCCAATCAGCGAACATGCCGTGCCGCCGGACCGTTTTCCACGTTTTCGAGCGGTTCCAACGAACCAGCCTGCTCCAGGCTGTTGCACTCGCGGCACGAATAGTCGCGACATCGCTACGACCTGTCACGCTCGGGACCTGCTTTTCGTCCCTTTGTCTCCGTTTTCAGAGAGATCGAGGCAGGAAGGGGAACGAGAAGCTTGTTTCGGGGTTGCACCTGGGCTGACCGCCTGTTCGGAGAACGGGCTCGGTTGTCGGGGATTGCCGGACAACGCGTTGACTGGCCAGGGGTCGTTCGGAAAGATTACGTGGCTCGGCTTTTTTTCTGTGAAAGGAGCTGTTTTCGGCGCATCGTGCCTGCTTTCGGTGGACGTTCATGCGATCCCGGCTATTTTGATTGTTGACACGATGTTCAGGGTTTTAAACAGTTTGTTTGTACGTAAAATTTTGCGTTCTTTGCCACTGCGGAGAATGTTTAATCCCGTTTTGTGTAATCACTCGTGGTGAAGATTTTAGACAAGATCTGTGATCCGAGATATAAATAACATTCTTTTTCTTAGGTATTAGGTTGTTCGGAATTCAGTGAAACGAACTCTATAAAATGTGGAACGATCATTCCGAACAACTGAATAGAATGAATATCAGGCCTAATAAAATTAATATCAAAATAAACGCGAAGATCTACGATAAATACGAATTGTCTATTTCTTCTGTAAAGTTATCCGAAGTCCAAAAAATGTCCACGGTCCGGTGAGAAGATCACAGTTTTGAAAATAGCGTACCAAACGTTAAAGCAAGTTTTTGCGTCCTCGTAAATTGTTGTATTCTTTCACAGACAAAGCGTAACATTTGTAAAGAAATGTAATGAACAGTATAAACTTTATGCAGTTACTTTATACGTTTAATTTACGCAGTGCGATTTTGCACCGATGAGGGGCCACCGACGATCTACACCAAGTCAGTCAACGTGTTGATCCATTTTAAGAGGGTCACACTCTCGTTATCCTTTGGTTAGCCACTCCGGTGCGCGCCAAGGCTCGGTTAAAGGGTTCGATATTATTCACTCGATCGCGATACCATCGTGCAGCGGAGAAAAAATAAAAGAAATCCTAGCTAGCTCCTTTCCGTCATTAATGACCTTTTCGCATTTCCAATTAGCCAATCGTTGCGACAAGTGATCGTGCAGCAGGACAGATTTGAAAGAAGACTTACATCCTCTTCTTCATCATCCTTTTTCTGTATCATTTAATTTAAATCGTTGCGACAAGTGATCGTGCGGTGGCAAAAATTTCAACGAAACAAATCAATGAATGATCGTGCAGTTGACACATTTCGAAGTGAATCCTGTATTCTTTTTTGCATCAACCTTTTTCCCCGTATTTAATTTAATCAATCGTTGCGACAGATGATTGCGCAAAGGAAAAAGTTGCGAAGAATTTTTAGATCCTTTCCTTCATCAATATTTTGGAATATCGATAAATTAACCAATTCTAACGAATGATCTTGCGGCAGGAGAAAATCGAAAGAAGATCTGCGTTCTTTTCCATCAATTATCCTTGTTACGTATCATTTAATCATTCGTTGCGACAAGTGACCGGGCAGTGGAAAAATTTCGAAAGAAATCCTGCATCCTTCCCTCCGGTAACTTCCTCAAACATAAATCAACCATTCATTGTGACAAATGATCGCACAGTGAACATATTTCCAAAGAAATCCTACATTCTCTTCCCTCCTTTCCTTTTTCTGGTACCATTTAATCAATCGTTGCGACGGCTGATCGCGCAAAGGGACACATTTGAAAGAGAAAGTTGAGATCCTTTTCTCTGTCGATTTACTCAAATATCAACGAATTAACCAATAATCTAACAAATAATCTTGCGGCGAGAAAAATTCGAACGAAGATCTACATCGTCTCCATTAACCTTCCTTAGCGTCATTTAAAGTAATCGACGCGACGAAGGGACCGCACGAAGGATGAAATGGCAAGAAGAAAAAGCAAGCGTCTTCAAGATCCTTCTCCATCGGCATTCTCTTAAGCTCCGCTGCAATTTCACTCGGAAACAATAGGTAAAACTCAGTTACACCGTTCTTAACCCCCCCGAGTTGGCCAGTTTAATGCGAAATGAGTTTCACGATCGCGAGATCCTTGGTCTCGGCATTCGTGGTCCTTAAACGGACATCGTAACACCGTGATCCGTAACCTCGTTTTTCATCCCCATTCAAGTTTACGAGGGAAAACAGACAAACGCGATTTCGCCAACGCGATCGAACGTTTCGCAGTCGCGGTCGACCGCTCGATTTAGCTCGTCACGAGATCTCAAGGTCCGTAATTGTAATTGCGCTTCTGTATGATAGATCGCGTGCCCGCGCCACGGGATCCGTTGATCTTTGTCGTTTCTTATTCCCAAGATCCAATTTGATTTACGTCTGAAAACTTCTGTCGACCGTGGAGACCCGGTATTACCAGCGCGGGAACAGTTTTTCCAAGCAACTATTCACGGCACGTTGGCCAAACTTCCCGCCGCGAATTTATAGTGACCTCGAGAACTTGGGGTCGTCATTTAACTGGCTCATTGTTTCGCAAACAGATTGCCGACAGGTTTCGCTGAAAGCCGGATGAAAAAATAATCGCGGTTCCAAAATAATTAATTGCTCAAACCCATGTTTCGTAAGAAACTCGATCGAAAGATCAACGAAACGAGATCGAAAGATCCACGAGACTTGATTGTTTCTTGCGTCACCGTAATCGCTGGACCCTTAGGGAACGTTCACGTTGAGTTTCTAGATATTTCGAGACATCGGTGTGTTAATTTCGATCGAAATTGAAGCACAGAGTTAGGAGAAATCTGAATGTTCGCGCTCGAGCCGCGCAACATTCCGAGAAACTCGATCGAATCTTCAATGTAAATTGAATCTCTTCGGCATCAACGTAACTGTTAAATCATCAGGAAACGTTCACATTGTATTTCCGAAAATGATCATTCCTAAATCGGTTGACTTCAATTGAGAATTGAATCGAATTCGAAGGGCGATTTTAATTCACTCCGAACTAGTCTAATATTTGGAAATTTCAATTTTAGCCACTGTTCCGAATCTTTTCAATCAAAAAATCTGCTAATATCATAGAATATCCTAATATCCTAGATCTGAACATCTAAAAACAAAAAAAAAAGAAAATACAATCTTACTTGCACTGCTTCCCCAAAACTCATGAATAAAGCAAAGCATTTCGAAAATAAAAGATGAAATCTCGTTTCGGTAAATCAGTATAATTCTAACAAATATTTAACATAAAATAAATCCGGCCACCTTTTCGTCTAAACACTCTCATGTGCATCCTTTCCGGAGATCAGCATTGAGAAAATAAAAAAAAAAAGAAAATTGGAAAGCACTCGATTTCGTAGGGATTTCCGCAGAGTCCGAGATGTAGAAGCATTCACTCTCGGTGTCGAAACGATTTTTGACGATCACGATCGAGGGGAACGTGGGCGTTGGGATTTGTGAAAGTTCGAGCACTCGATCCTTCCGATGATTTTTCGTCGGAATTCAAATTTTCGCGGCTTGGGCACCGACACGAACGCGGCTCGACGAGCAACCGGAGCCCGCCTCTACGTCACGGAGGACTGTTCGCCCGACCCGACGACACTGACTTTAATAGTCGAGACTTTCGATTGATTTGCCGCAGCCGCAAGGACTATCTTGTCACGGCAACGTTCGGCGTCCACGGCGCGGCGCAGCCTAGTAAAACCGCGAACAACCCCAACCGAATCACCTGCGGCCTTTGCGATAAATCCTAATCCCCCGCTTTCAACGGATGATAAATTAATGACAAGTGCGGCAGAATAGAATAGTATACGATACCAGAAAACAACTCGCGAATGACGGCACTCGGTTACGCTATAGCTCAAACATGTACATCGTTTCGCGTAACAACTGCCTCCAACGTTTTGCACTGAAACCAGATTTTGATCATTCTTTTGCACCATTAAAATATTTTCTTTTCATTCGAAATAATTTTATAAGGAGTTTCAATTGTGAGCTACGCGCACGAAAATTTTCAAGAAGATTCTGTCACTGACAATGGTCTCAAAAATTGTCCTATCGGTATTACCAAGTATTCGCGAAAATTAACATATTGTACGAGTGTTAGCTTTGGTAATTTTTGTTGTATCCTTGTAGTATTTGTTTCGATCTGACAATTTTTTATAGGGTAGTTTTAATCGCTAGTTAAGTGAACAAACATTTTCAAGGAGATTCTTTTACTGATAATGACGTTAAAAATTGTCCTTTTTAGTAGTACCAAGTATTGGCAAAAGTTAACATATTGCACGGGTATTAGCTTTGATAATTTTTGTTGTGCCCTTGTAGTATTTGTTTCGATCTGAAATTCTTTTATAGGGTAATTTCAATCGTTAGTTAAATGAACAATAATTTTCAAGGAGATTCTGTTATTGATAATGATGTTAAAAATTGTCCTATTGGCACCAGGAATTTAGAAAAATTGGCATTCTGCATGGGAACTAAGTCTTGGTAATTCTTGCTGCACCCTTGTAGTATTTGGTTTGATTCGAAAATTTTTTACAAGATGTTTTACAGATATTTTACAGATATTTTCAATGACCCCATTCCAAGAATAATGTTAAAAATTGTTGAATTGATAGTTCCAGATTTTGATCGAAGTTAATACGTTACAAGGTTGGCTCATTTTTTTACCATTTTTTGACGTCCTTGTGGTTTTTATTTTGATTCGACAATTTTTTATAAGGCAAATTTAATCTCGGACTACGTGCTAAACAATTTTCGGCGACCTCGTTTGGTCAACAATGTTGTTAAAAATTCTCCAATTAGTTCTTCTTTCCTGCCGTTTCCTTCCTACTATTTTTGCTAGCAGATCGAGGTCACGATTTTTCTTGTTAGCTAAGCGAAAATGAGGATGACTTCAAAGATCGTTTGTTCTTCAAATCCGCCCATAATACCGCGCCATAATGCACCCAGAAAATGTTCTCCTGACAGATAATATAAATTGAACTTTCAACGCATAGATCCAACCCAATCCAGCACCGAAGGATCAACCAGAAAATCGTTTCATAAAGATCCTATCGCACACCTTTTTCCCCAGAACTGTCCAAAGAAAGAAGACTAATCACACTCTATGGAAAAAAATCCATTCATCAACATCTCCTGAAAAAGATCTCAACATATATAATTCTCTCGCGGTCCTTATGCAACAAGTTCGACCATTGCAGTTCTGACCGAACTTACGCCCTAACTTACTCTGTTTTTGCACTATAACTCGATCGTTCGGAAAGTGAAAAACGATTCTGAAAATAGCACCGACGGTATCCAAGAGGAGAAACAGCCTCGCATCCACAGCATACTAATTAAATCGTCTGGACCCGTCGGTCGGAAAAAGAGTTCTAGAACAGACCTAAGAACACCGCGTCGGAACTCACCCCATAGATTCGGGGCAGCAAAAGCAAAAGCTTCTGCACCCGCTGCAGCCACCTGTGCAGCTAACTAACGAAGACGGGTCTCGAGTAACGTCCGAATTAATTCACGTCGGTCGCAAGTAGAGTAAGTTCGATAAGTTTCGAGCAGTTATCTCAGGCTCTCGTTACTCGGTGCTCGGTCGGTCCTTGTAATCGTCCTTCGTATGATTTGCGAGGCAAAACCGAGGCGAGTCGTTAAGCGACAGCGAACAGGAAGTTGCAAGCCTGCCACCTCCCCGCAAAAACCGCTCCTTCCGATAAGGATCGGGCCGCCGGAATCTTCGTTTCCGGCTGCTCACACGGAAGCACACAGCAAGCAACATAGGGGAACACATGGGACCCAGTTAGGGTTTGCAGACAGACTGTTAGATCCTTCATCGATCGTCTCGCGATCTCCGTTGTCGGTTCACTGGCGATCTGGATAAATTCTTCGGCATTTTGCGAGTACCGTTGAAGTCGCCGAAGGAGATCGTGGATCTTTCGTTACAATTTTATGGCGGCAAAAATTGTAGCAATTGGAAGACTGATTTTGCTGTTAGACCGATTTTGCAGGCGCGTTGAAGTCACCGATGGAGACTTTTGACGGAGATTATAGATTTGTATGCATTCGTGTCTATGGACTTGTTACAAATTTATGGCGACAGAAATTGTAGCTATTTGGGGGTTGTTTGTTGCTATGAGACGTTTTATAAAATATATGAAAAATAAAAAATATATAAAATATATGAAATATATATCAAACACTTCGGTGTTTGAACTTTCTTCTACGATGTTTGTTAAGATTGTTGAAGCAGAGAATGAGGAGTGAAGTTGTTGCAATTCGTGGCTACAATGTACATTTTTAAAGAACGAGTGTAGATCGATTCGTGATTGTTCAGCAGAGTAGAGACCTGCAGCAGCGTTGCTACTCTTCAACAAAGAGTGTACAATAACATATTTCAGAGACGAGTAATGTGAAAAATAGAATATGTAAAAATAGAAATCTGCGTATAAATCCAATTATGAAACTACGGAATTGATCGACCACCATCTTCGTAGCCTTTCAAATACAGTCTATAAAAATAAGAACAGAGGAACCTCTTCTCATCTAGATGACGAAACATGACGCGGGAAGATTGTTATCGGTTAGCGCGATGACTGGCACGGTGCTTTATCGATGACAAACGCTGCCAAATTACATATATAAGAACGATCAGGAAAAGATGAAGGCCGAATATTCTTGTCGACATAGGCCAGCTAGCTAGACGATAGCGTGAAGTAAACATTGCACCGTTCAATAATTTATAACTCTTATTACCGACGTTTATTTTTGCCGATTGCAGGTGTAAACGAAGCGATACAGTCAGCCGTAAAAATCTATAGACACAGTCGCCGAATTTTCAGCACTTGGAACAAAGAAACGCGTCAGACGTTTTGTGAACATCGAGTCGCTTATTGGATTATTAACGCGGATTATTGTATCTTTTCATTTGTATCAATCCATATTATGAATTAACGCGGATTGCGACGCGATAAGATCGTAAAACTGAGTAAAACTGAATACGTTTATAAAAGATTTTAGCGAAGGTATCGAATCGGTAGACAAATATTTACTGTTCCTACAGATTAAATGATGAATACATTTACTGCAGCAGGTTAGCAAAGGTATTAACTGACTATAAAAATGTTTGCTATTCCTAGTGAATGTACACACCGACTACACAAAGTTTACCTTCAACTAGCTGTGAATACATTTGCTCTACGACTTAGTTGGTATGCGTTTGCGCGGGCTAGTGACTATGTAGATTTAGCGAATGGACGCTTCTACTGTAAATATATGAGACGGGAACACAATCTATAAAACTATTAACAGTAAACCAACCTAGTTCTGAAAGTGGCTAACGAGTGATGTTTTATAAAAACGTCAACGGATCGAATTTATTTCCACTGTTTGCGACTTTTATTACAACGTAAGCTCGTACGAAGGCATTTGAGCCGTTTATTTTGAAAGTGGCATAAGTCACTTTACCGTAATGAAAAGTGGTGATTTTTTAATGTTCATACGAAATTATTTACACTGAGAAAAATATCAGTATCTTGAGATAACAAATACAAGTAAATCTTCTCGATAGTTAGCATCCATATTTTTAAACGTGTTGAAACGCAAACCCTTAAATATATCGACTTAGAAACAAAGTGACTTATGCCACTTTCAAAATAAACGGCTCATTTATCCAATCGTTTCTTAAGAAAGGGTATTCACGATTTCAACAATTTGAAAATGAACATTGTAAGATCGATCATTTCGACCGCAATGGTAGGTTCAATGTTCGATTGTGCCTCTGTCTTTGCTGCGCAGGAAATTTTAACACTTTAATGGCCGCACGTCTACGCAATCGAACGTCGCCAGGGGCAGGCAATATTTTTGAAGAATTAGTTTGAAAAAAACTTCATGTAAATTCATGAAATAATTCAACACATGTGCGAACATACGCATAAAACAGAAAAAGCAACGACAACAATAGCAACACATTTAATGCAACAAATTTAATATTTTTCCTTTGTGTGATAATCATTTAAAGCGATCACCTACACGTAACGATACTCGGCAAGCTTTACATATAAAATATGCAGGCTTTCTAATTTTATTCGCATAGCAAACACGACAATCCCTTCGTACCTTTTTTACTACTGATATTTCAACTAATTCATGTTTTATTCCTCCGGCTAATCTTTCAACCAGAGACGAGCGACGCGAGATGTAGCAGGATCACCATCATTAGTTTTAATCCACGCACTCGCTAATTTAAGTAAAAAAATCGCGGTAATTTAATTTTCGAATGGGATCGGTATTCAAATGTTCGTACATACGAAACGAGTTAAACATGGCACGATTCATTAAATAGAAAGGAAGTTTCTTCGTCCATTTTTTCGTTCTTCCAATAACCTTCGGCTAAGACGAAGGTACCATCACACATGCTGTTCGAGCGACCATTAAAGTGTTAAGACTGAAGAAAGTATAAAACGCAATGGAATGCGATAAAAATGCGTAGTATCCTCTGGTCAACTCTCCAAATCCTCGCAACAAATGAAAATCTCAACATCACCGATCAATCAACAATCTCTCATCGTCGTCTCCACAAACCCGAGCATATTCAGCGTCTCAACCACCGGTGACTCCATCGCCAACAAGCTCAACCCATCGAAATCCTTGCGACCCCCGACAAAATGATCCAAGAAATTGCCAGAAAATCATCAGTGCCCGAAACAACGAAAAGCAGCGAACACGGGATAGCGTGAGGCAATTGATGTCGGCGAGGCGTTAGTCCCATCGATCTTCCACGACAAACACAACGATCGATCCCGACGAGGTTGACGAGGGAGCACAGGAGGTCCACAGGTCCAACGTCGGATAACACTGATGACGAAGAGGGGCGGTTCACGTTGTCACAAGTTCACAGGGAGCCAAAAAAAAAACAGAACGAACGAACGGACAGAGGACGATACACATCGGCGCAGAAAAGTGGCGGGTGTCCGTCGAGGGTCTCTGACAGTGTGCCGGACGCCGAGTGTCCCGATGGACAACGGGATACCTGATGGTGTCGCAGCGTGGACGGTCGGTCAGGTGTCGCACGATCGCGAGACACACACGTGCTTCTGGCGGCTAGATCGATAGGCCACGGTGAAATATTCACGGGCGACGGTGATGTGTGTCGCGCGAGCTGTCCAAGGCCACCCTGACCGACCCTGTTGTCTCCTGCGACCCTGTCCGAGCCGGCGATTCGCTTAGCTTCCGGCCTCGATCCGCCGTGCGAACGATCGATCGATCGCACGTGTCCTCCACGAGCTGGTCTAGCCCACCTGCACGAGCTTCTCCAGGCTCGATCCGTCAACCAACCCGATTGCTTCCGGCCGATTTTCTGACCGGCTGATTGCCGCTGCTCGAAGGGAGACCGATCTTCCGGGTTGCGATCTAGCACCGGTTCTCGAGGAACAGGATCCGGAGATCCTAGACCCGCTGCGCGTCCGCGTTCAACGATCGAACCGCCGGCGCTCTTTTCGAACGACCGATTGGCACTGGCTCGCGTGCACGAGGCGTCGCGACGCATGCCAGGACCGCGGCCACCTGGGGCGCCTGCACGAGCTGCGGGGGTGGGGCGAGCGGGCCTGTTGCGCGAGTATTTTGGCCATTTTTCGAACGCCCGCACCTAGAGCCGATGGCTGTTTCAGAGGGAAGAGGAATTCACGGGATTTCCGTCGGTTTGCAAAATTTTGTGGTGACGTAACTCGGCCGAGCATCTGATTTAGCGGTGGTTCGAATTAATCGGAATTTACGGGCCTTTTCGGTGGAACTGATTCGCAGAATTTCGTGGGGAACGAAGGATAAGCTTCCGATTTGGAGGTGGTTTGATTTAATTGGAAGTAAGCTGCCTTTTGGATAAATCTGGTTTTTGCCAAATTTTTGGGGGGTTGAGGGTTGAGCTTCTGATGATGTGGTGGGTTGAGTTAGGCGATGTTTATTACGGTTAACACTAGAACTAATAAACCACTCGAAATGACTGGTTCGTGATATTTTTCTTTTACAATTCCTGATTTTACTAAAATGCTTATGTCAGGAATTTTCATACGGACGTCTTCATTCAGGCATATGTTATAATAAAAATCGTAGAAGGTCAAAATAAATCCAATCTTGTCATTGTTATGAGACGATGTATAGAAGTCATGTTTAGGATTTGGTAGTTCTAGCGTTAAAACTGCTTTATAAAATTATGTGCAGGATGAAGGTTGAGCTTCTAATTTGATGGTGGCCTGATTTATCTGTAATTTGGGCGCCTTTGGGGGTGAAATTGGTTTGTAAAATTATGTGAGTAATCTCAACTTTTAAAAGTAAAAGCTCAACTTTTGAGTTGATGGTGGTTTTAGTTAATTGACATTTGGCTGCCTTTTGAGTGAAACTGGTTATGTAAAATTTTGATGGTAAGAAATGTAAGATTTTGATTTGTTAATGGTTTGATTTAGCTGCAATTTAGTGGTCAGTTGATTAACAAGAAGGTTCGAATTCCTGAATTGGTGGTGGTTTGGTTTAGGTGAAATTTGTGTGTCTTTTGGTTGAAACTGTTTTACGAAGTGTTGTGGGTAATGACAGCTGGGCTCCTGATTCTGTGGTAGTTTGATTTAGATAGCAGTTGAGTGTCTTTCCGGTGAGAACGATGTTTAGAATTGCTGACGAACTGTGATGCTTCGCCACATTTTTTGCTATATGGCACTCGAGGGTACTTCTCATTTTGAATTACGTTGGTTGCCATTTTATTGTTATTGTTACAAATTTATTTCTTAACGCTGATGATCTAGGAGTTTCTAACTGTTTCATTATTTTTGTTTATCTATCGATGGCCACTCGGTTTCAAAGTGTATTGAAAATTACATCGATTCCCAATCATTGGGATTGATATGCGCTATGTGAGATCAAAATGGCCGCCAGTGGATATACGAAATTCATAGTATTAGAGTTATCGTCTGTGTAAACTGAACGAGCAACTTTTGTCAAAACTCAAAGCAGTGATATTACTGGAATTGTATCGGATATGGCAATTCTGACATTGATATTTTTAAAGTGTATTTTACGTCAATGTTTACAATAATATATTTTTATTGAGTAGAAAAGCATACAGTAATTTCTCTCTAATTCGCGCTCAGACTGTGCACAAAAATGGACAATTTGGGAAGAGGAGATACGATTATTCGAGCGTCTCGTTTTTATAGTTGTTGGCAACCGGTAATTATACTTCCAAAATTATCCATTTTTGAGCGAAATCTAAGCGCGCGCGAATTAGGGAGAAATTACTGTAGTTCTCATAGCAAACCCCAAAACATTCTTGCCCCAAAATACCGGTACCCTAAACGATTCATATCCAAAAAAAGTTGGATACTGAAAAACATTATCATAAAACAAAATATAAATATATCGAAAAATCAACTAACAAACTTTTCATTTTGATAGTAAACTGGTAAGTGTTTTCCCTTAACACAAATCTAATACAGTTAATAGAGAAAAAGAAAGAAGGCGGAGTTAAAAACATAAAAAGATTATAAAAACTATAAAAAGAAAAGATAGCGGCGACGCGGTAGGATAGTTCCATAAGAAACGTAATCCAGGCTTGAAGACGGCTTAAAATATGGTAGAAGTTGGCGCATAAAGGATCAATGACGAAGCAACAGATACAAAAGATGAAGACATAATACATATAACATCTTCAACTCGAACGGACAGTCGCCATCGGTCTTCCCCCCCGTAGAAATTCTATGTACAATAAGAGTACAACGAGTTACATAAATCTTGCAACTGTGGTTATTTTTCAAGTCTCCCTCGCCCGGCGAGATACGCTCGCTGTTCGAAAACGTATTTCGACGTTTACAACGGTCATTTTTCACCGGCGATAATCGTCAGGCTTGGACGTGCTCGGGATGAAGCCGTTAAATTGCCATGCGTTGACTCTTGGATGCGCGTATAAAAGCGTCGTCTTATTTTTGCATCTTGACGCGGTAAATATAGGTTTGTCATTTATGGTAGGATCTACTGGTCCTGTCAAAATGATCGGCCCTTTTTTTATTTAAGATTGGAGAGGTTGTGGAGACGAATTCGTGGACAATTATTCGGTCAATTTATTCCTTTGGACGTATATCGTTTTAAAAATGGTAAAAATGGGAAAAACGGTAAAAATGGTAAAAATCTGATTGTCAATGACGAGTCACGTTCGTGCAATATTTATCGCATCCGCACAAGCATTAAAATAATAATCTGTGGTCGTGTGTATTCTGAACATTTTTATTATTAAATATTCAAGAGATATAAATATTTTCTTATACTAAATGTAAGTCTCTCGATCACTGAATAAATTATAATATTCTTTCACCGACCAGAAGCAGACTAGCAAAGCGAAAAAAACTTTCTCAAGACTCAATTTTGTATTAAACCCTCTTTGTAAAAATTTAATGTTCATCAATAAATCCACATCAAATGGAATTTTACCGATTTTCCCAGATTTTCAGCGAAGTCTATGAAAATCGATGACAATTTGCAAACACAGAAGGATCCCCTGATTTCCACAGCTGTACACTACAAAGCAGACATCGCTGACGTTCATCAGGCTCGCTATCGAAATGGTTCGCGTGAAAAACGGCACCTTGTCGATCCTTTTCCGCGGAATTTACGGCGACACACGGGGCCACCATAATTCAATCCGTCGCGGTTTTGTCCACGAATAGAAATGAAAAACTCGACGCCGACGATAGCAGACCGCGTTTTGGCTCGACCACGTCAAAAATCCCGCCCACCGAATTTTTGGCAGAGCTTAGGCCCGCTTCGATGCCTCGGTTCGCGGGTCATCGAGCATCGTAGCGACAGCAAGAACACCAAAAGAAATCGGTTCTCCGCCGCGTTCCTCGCACGCGTCGAGGAATCTGCGATCCGGTCGCCAACTTGGCACGACATTCACTGCGATAAAGAATGATAGATGACACACGGATTGGCCATTTATCCGCTACGAAGCTCCCAAACACTGTGCTCGCTGAAATCGTACGATGCAATCATTTCTACATACAGCTGATGTTCATTTCCATTTATTTGTTGCCTTCAATTTTTAAGTGGTGACATATTTCGATAATGACTTTCACATTGGTGTATTTTATTTAAACAGTGACAAGAGGACGTTCTTCACCTTTGTACAGTCGATGTTTTAGTTTGTTCGGGCTCTTACTTGTCAATTTGTTATCTACTTGTTATTACTTGTTAGTACTTGTTATTACTTGTCAAAGCTATTTCTTTCGTATACGTTGATTTTTCTATTCCTTTTTATACGGTATATTGTGTAATAATTAGATTGCGGGCTTTTATGAAAATTGACATTGTAATACTTAATTTTACGAACACTAAAATCTGAGACAAAATTTTGTTCATTCATTAAAGGATTTCATATGACGAAAATAATAAATAAAATAATTATAATTGTAATAGTGTATGAAAACAAAATTAACAAAATTGTTTCACTGAATTCTCTCTCTCTCTCTCTCTCTCTCTCTCTCTCTCTAGTAAAAATACTATTATAGTTAATCAATGTCCCCACAACAGAAATGAATAAGTGAATACACAACACTGCAAAAAAATTACAAGAATCAAAGAAAATACTTTCGCACCATTTTAAACATAATAGAACCGTCTAAACAAAAATTACTTTTATATTAGGCACATTAGTGCTTAACAGTTAACCTAGAATATATTAACTCTGCACAAAAATCCAGAAAAAGAAGATGACAGTCAAGTCGCAACAATAATCAGGGTACACGGAAAGACAACTGTCTGGTATTTTTCTTCAAGAAAAATAGGACTTTAAGAAACCTAGAATGTCCACGGTTCCTAGCTTTCCCGTCATCTGTCTCAACATAATAAGCATAACACGGCGAGAAACCGAAATGGTGAAAAATTCCAGTTGCTGTTTGATTAGTCCCATTCAGCGAACGGCGGAGTATCGTCTTCCGTAGGGCCGAGAAGTTTCTGTCCGCGCTACTGTCCGACTGACAGCATATTCTACTGCGCGAGCCTCTAACGAGCAACGCGCCCTTATTCGTAACTAGCAGCCTCGAACACGTGCCCCCTTCATATTTCTCGCAAACTATTCCTGCAACTCCTCCTTTTTCTCGCCGCCTCGCTTCCACGAAATTTCCAATTAACGAGCCCCGGCAGCGCCGTGCCGCGGCCGCCCAGAAACTAGTAACTTTGTTGTCCATGAAATCATTCTTCCGTCCCGCGCTCCACTGTCCCGTCGCGTAATCGATGCGAAAGTATGCGACGATGAACTACCCCTGATTTCGCATTCATGCCGCGAATATCCGATTCAGTGGAACACCGTTCCGTTCATGTTTGTCGTTATCGAAAATTGCTTGATTTTTATGCCCGATCTTTATTGCTCGATTTTAATGCCCTAATTTTATATTCGTTTTTTTGTTCTTATTGGCAAGATTGTTTCAGCTGCGACGTCTTCAGCTCCGTTCGTCTCTTGACGAAACTTGAATGCACTTGTTTCCTTATGT